ATGGCGGGTGAGTGAGTACCCGCTTGTTAGGGGGCGGGGGTAGGGGGAGCCAAGGGGTTTTTTCTTACACAAACCCTGTCTCGAAAAACAAACAAACAAAAAAAAAAAAAAGTGTGTGCAGCACCACTAGGCTTCTTTAATATTTTTTAAAGAAACAGAGATGGTTTAACAGGGAGGTAGAGGAAGAGCTCCAAGGGACAGGGGGCAGTGTGAAGTCTAGCTTCTGAGCTGTGGCTGAACACGTTGGGTTAGGGTGGGGCTCTTACTTAGGACTGGTATTAATAGGTTGGCCTCGGGGATGGGAAGGCCTGGTCATTAGTCAGATTTCTCAAATAGAGATGTGTTGCAGAATGCAAGAAATGTGGGCAGTTTTCTGCATGATCTGGGTCAGCATGCTAAAAGGGCCCGCCAACCAAGACAAGAGTCAAAACAGCATTGCAGGAGTAATCACACATAAGTCAGGAGGTCTGTGGAGAGTGTCAGACCCCCCCCCCCCATAGTGGGGATTATTGAGAGAACAGGTAGAAAAAAATAGCGGCCTGATGACGACGGCACAAGCAGATGAGGGGATGTTTAGATGTGGGGTTTGGAAGGCAGAGAAAAGATAGGTCTTAGCAGGGTTGCTAAAGATCTCTTAAAATTAATTTCTCACAAAAACCTTTTGTCATATACTGAGGACAGTAATTGATTTGGCTATTTGGCTCTGGACCTATACCATTCCAACTCTCCACACTTAAGGATAGCCATGTCAAAAGTGTAATCGTGAAAGTGCAGCTTGCTTGGAAACCTTGGCTTACTGCATACAGCAGTTCACACCCCATGGAGCTTGGAGACATCCTAGAAGCCAGTGGGGCTAATCTGTCAGGAAGGCAGGTCTTCAGGAGAGAGAAATGATAACCAAAGCCACTGAGATAAGAATCCCTCAACAGTAGATCTGTTGGCCATGTATTTTATTTACTTGTTTTATGTGTCTGAGTGTTGTGCTTAATGTGTATCTGTGTTCCATGTACATGCCCAGTGCCCATGAACTGGAGTTACAGGCAGTTAGTTATGAGCCACCAGGAATTGATCCTGTGTCCTCTGCAAAGGCAGCCAGTGCTCTTAGCCACTGAGCCATCCCTTCAGCCCTATTATCATTGAGATTTAATTATTTTTGCCTTCTGTATTTGATGTAACACTGATCTAACAAATGTTAACTTGATGGTGCATAGGTACACATGCAGGCAACACTTCGTATGCATAAAATCTTTTTCTTTTTTAAATCAAAAGGAAGGAAGATGTGCCCCAGCGTGGTAGCATGCCTTTAGTCCTGGCACAGACCTTTTCCAAGGCCTTAGGGAGCTCTACAGCTTCCACCACTGAAAGGCTTGCTGTACTCCCCTTTGGCCCTTCAGTGGAGTGTTTGCCTCTTCGGAGTCTAGAGGATGAGGGTCACAGGCAGGTGTGAGTGCTTGCAGCCAAGGATGTTCTGTGCCACCTCTAACTCAAGGAAAACATCCATCGGGTGTAATAGCTCAGCAGGTAAAGGTGCTTACTGCCAAGCCTCATGGCCTCATAGTTCCCAGGTCCCGTGTGGTGAAAGGGTGCCGGACTACATAAGTGGTCCCCTGCCCTCCGTCTGCATTTCAGGGCACATGAGCACCACACATTACATGAAATTTAGAACATTTAAATGCTAAAGAGAAGAGGCCTGTGGATGGAGCCTCCTGGCCAGCACTACACCTCAGATTTCCAGCTCTGAAAGGGGGTGGTGGTAGGGACAGGACAGGACAAGGCCATGCTGCTGAAGCCTCCATGATTGACGGGCAGGCCCTGGGGTGCCCTGAGGACCGCAGCAGGCACCCTGCCTTTGGTAGAGCTGCAGGACTATGTACTCTCCAGGCCCAGGGTGCTACCCACTGTATGATCAGCCTCTGCCAGCGATGCTTCCTTTCCCCTGCTTCCCATGGCCCAACCCACCATCGGTGGGCTGCAGGGAGAAGCCAACCCCAGAAGCCCCCAGCACTGCTTTTAACTTCCGTGCTTGTAGGTGTGCTCATGTGTGGGCAGCAGACATTTTCGATCCCCAGAGCTGAAGCAGTTGTGAGCCACCTACCTGGGTGCTGGGGACTGAACTCAAGTCCTCTGCAAGAGCAACTACCTCACTTAACCTGCAAGCCATCTGTCCAGCCCTGGCAGGAAGGTGATGAGTTCTGGCCCAGCCTGGGCTGTGGCATGAGACCCTGTCAACCTGAGTTTGGGTTCCCAGAAACCACATCAAAAAATAGATGCAACTCGATGGGCATTGGTGGCGCACGCCTTTAATCCCAGCACTCGGAAGGTAGAGGCAGGCGGATCTCTGTGAGTTTGAGATCAGCCTGATCTACAAGAGGACAGGACAGTCTTCAAAGCCACATAGAAACCCTGCTTCGAAACCGCCCCCCCCAAAAAAAATTGGATACAGTCATGTCTGATCCCAGGGCATCCCCGTGGGGAGATGGGAGGCCAAACAGGAGAGTCCCTAGGAATGCGAGGGCGGGCTTGCCTGGTATATGCAGCTGTGGATGAGAAGGCAGAAGGTAACTTGCACTAAGATTGTCCCCTGACCTCTATGCAGGCACCATGGTACACACAGGCTTTGGCACAGGCGTACCTGGACTCACACAAACACTAGATATTAAAGGAATACAACTATTTTGTGATACATGAACAGTGTGTGAACCCAAACATGCTTTATCAGTAAAGTTGTGTTGCGACATGGTCCCCCGATTGTGTCAGCCATGGTACTAGAATAACAAAGTTGAATAGTTGGTAGTCATATCAGTGACCAGGGAGCCTAGAAAGTTGACCCTTTGCTAAGAAAGGCTGTGTCATAGTCCCCTCCTCCACCCTGCAATTGCGGCACTCTTCCCTGCCCCCTTCAGTTGTCCGGCTGTGCTTGTGTGGCCTGGAAAATACTAGGATCCATCCCTAAGCCTCCCACCTGTCTGACTCTTGCCACACCAGCCCCATGAGACAGGGATCTTGCCTTGGGGGGAAAGCTCTGATGCTGTGTCTTAGCAGTGAGGTCAGTGTGTGGCCCGTGTGCTACTGCCTCCAGGAGGAAGCTGGTGCTCTTCCTGTGGAGTGGAAGCACCACCTCCTGCCTGTCCTAAGGGCAGCCCTCACATGCCCAGCTCCAGCTGGCAGAATGTGGCTCTGGCCAGGCACAGCTCTTGCAGCTGGGTGAACAGCACATGTCTCCCTCTCTCTTGCAGGAAACCCACAACCACTGGTGCCCACAAAACAAAAGGAAGGAGAGTGCAAGGTAAGCGCTTCAAAGAAAGTGTTTTGTTTTGTTTCGTCTTCAGTAACAAGTTTTGTTTAAGTTTTTAAAGACATGTGTATTTATCTCTCGTTGGAGGAGTGTGCAAGCTGTATCATGAGTATAGAAGTTTGAGGGGACCTTGGTGGGAGTGGATTTGTCCTACCATGTGGGGGCCCAGGGATTGAACTCGGGCCATCAAGCTGGGCAGCAAGCATCTTACACGCAGACTGTTTTCTGAGAAACAGTCTTATGGAGCCAAGGTTGCCAGTCAACTCCTGATCCTCCTGCCTCAGCCTCCTTTGTGCTGGGATGATAAATGTTCCACAACCTAGTTCATGAAAGGGGTTTCTTGGAGGGGAGGGGCAGAGAAAAGTCTGAAGCTTTCACTGTTCATTGGCATGCTTCTGGGGACTCAGGGTTCTCCTTGTCACTGAGGTGTCATTTGACTGCTTTGGGCCTTTGGAGATTAGGTCTGGAGGTCTGATGATGTGCTACGGTGTTGTGAGGCCACATATCCAAGTTTCATCCAGACACCTGGTGAGCTGCCCAGTGTGGGTGCCGGGAAACAAACTTCGGTGCCCTGGAAGAGCAGCAAGTACTCTTTGGCCCCATGTTGTTTGTTTTTAATTAAACTGGGGGTGGGTAGAGGCAAGCATGGCGTACATGTGGGGGTCAAGGTCAAGAATAACTTGGGGGAGTTGTTTTTCTCCTAGTACCATAGGGGTCCTGAGGATTGAACTCAGGCCCTCAGTGTTGACAGTGACCCCTGCACCTGGTGGGGGTTTTGGGAGCAGGGGGCTCACATAGGCTCAGCAAGCACCCAACCACTGAGCTACCTAGCAGATGTCTGTCTACTTCGATGGCAGGGGTGGAACTTGGGCTCTCACCATGCCAGGCTCTCACCCTACCGCCAAGTGGCCCCAGCCTGGCACTCTGGTTCGTAACCTTTCACAGGTTTGCATGCTGCCTGGTTTTGTTAACACTGCCATGTCCTCGGGTAACAGTGTCCTCATGGAGACCCCCACTGTTAGACATAGTTCAAGATGACTGGACAATCAGCACTTTGGTGTCCCCACTGTTGGAAACAGACAGGACCTCAGATCCCTGTCTTTGGTTGAACCTGTTTTCTACCTTGCATGGTGGCACACAACCTGTTATCACACTTGGAAGGCTGAGGCAGGAGAACCTCCTGAGACTTGGAATGTGAGGCCAGCCTGGGCAACACAGTCAGGTGCTGCCTCCACATCCAGCTGCAGCCATAAGCCAAGCATGGGAGGAAAAGTATATGGCACACCAGAAACCCAGTGAGGCCCAATGGCTAAAGAGGCAGGGCAAGGAAGATAGCAGCAGCTGCTGGTTAGCAGTGAGGGGCAAGGCCCAGGGGTGTCCAGAGGCACTGAAGTCTCGGGGCCAAACAACCCAGCAACAGACCAGCCTGTCTCAGCCTGGAGCGACCATTCAAGGAGAAAGAAATGGAGTCCTGAACCCAAAGCTGCTGGTGGCTCCTGGGTTCAGGAGAAAGGTCATCATGAGGTCATGCTGTGTGATGAGAGGCTGCAAAGAGTGTGAAGGGCAGACAGGGACAACAAGCAGGAGAATAGGCAATGAGTACAAGGATTTTTTTTTTTTTCTAGACAGGGTTTCTCTGTGTGGCCCTGGCTGTCCCGGAACTTACTCTGTAAACCAGGCTAGCTCACAGAGATCCACTCGCCTCTGTCTCCTGAGTGCCGGGATTAAAGGTGTGCACCACCACTGCCCAGCTGAGTGCAGAGACCTTACAGTGCTTGTGTGAAGCAGAGCTGGAAGAGGGGTGTGCGTGAAGGGGAACAGCAGGCAGTGTCTCTAGAGCTGGGGAAGCCCAAGGGGAAGGTTTCCAGAGCCCAGGGGCTGTCTAAGGATTCAGCAGCATGGAGCAGGAGGATCTCTTAGAGGAGGGGGTCTGTCATTCCCAGATCAGTCTCCATCAGAGACTGAAGGGCTGAGCCTAGGAAATGAGGGGGGTAGGGGTGAGAGAGGGACTGTAAAGTGGTGAAAGAAGAATTCGACCATAGTGTAGCGGGGCTGGGGAGGGGCATGGTGAGGCTGTGCCATCGTTGGGTCTCACTGGCTTTAGCTGGGCCAGGCCAGAGGGTCCAGGCTTAGCCAACATCAAGAGGGCCTGGCTCTGTGTGAGTGTCATGAGGTTCCCACCCACGATAAAGGCAGGAGTGGATGGAGGAGGAAAGAGCAGGGGCATAGACCTCCCCACACTCAGAGGAAAAGACCCCAGCATCACACAGGACTGACCATGCAGGAAACAGGAGGCATGCACACTGGCTTCCCTGCTCCTGGGTTGCTGAGGGCTCTCCTGTCTTCAATTTTATTATTATTTTTAATCTGGCAGCTTCATTTAGTTGAGAAGCATGAGTGGTTGTGGTGCAGACGAACACAGTACAGCTATGATAAGAATCTAGAGTGTTCTGTAGTTGGCAAACAGGGTCTGAGATCTGGGTTGGCCACAAAGGCCAGTGGGTCTGTTTGTCTTTGGTTAAACTGAACCAGGGTCAGATTCCTACATCTAGGCTGCATTTTCCAAGCTTTTTCTTGGTGCAAGCCCTAGGCAAACTCTCACTAGGCCTTTTACATCCTTTACCTGTGCTCTCAGAGCCTCTGCTGGATCTCAGGCGAGAGAGCCGCAAATCCATGCCAACATGGCAGTTCCATTGTGATGGTATCATCTAGGTTATAGGGATGGACCTTTTTCTCTGCCCATTTAAAGAATAGGAAGGTGGGAAAAGCAAGAGGGGCCATGAGCCTGGCTTTACTGTGCTAAAGCACAGAACAGAGATGGACTCCTCCCAGCCCCAGGAGGGGCAGATAGTGTGGGATATTTTTGATGTTGTTTTGATTTTTGGTGGGAGGGAGGGAGGGGGGTATGTGCACATGGATATAGGTATTCTTGGACACCGGAGAGGGTGTTAAATCCCCCAGAACTGAAGCTACAAATGGTTATAAGCCTCCATGTGGGTGCTGGGAAATGAACTTCAGTCCTCTGTAAGAGCAACAAGAGTTCAACCACCTAGCCATCTCTCATGCCCCCTTTTAAAAATTATACTTATTTACTTGAGGTGAGGTGGGCTGCCATGGTACACACTTGGAAGTCAGAGGACAGCTCTTGGGAGTCATTTCTCCCTCCACCATGTTGTTCCCAGGGGTCAAACTCAGATCATCAGGCTTGGTGGCAAGCCCTCTACCCAATGAGCTGTCCCACTGGCCTCTGGCTTTCAGTTTCTACAGTGTTTCTGTCTTTGCTCTGACTTGACACTTGCTCCTACTCCAAGGATCCACATACAAAAGGTGTTCTGTATATGTCTTGTAAACACTAAGTATCCTATAAAGGTTACTGCGTGTAGTAGCTGCCCTGTGCATACCTAGGGAGGTTGAAGGAGCCAGTCTGCAGGCGGCAGAAGGGCTGGTGTTTTTCCTGTCACTGAGCATGAAGGGCCAGTGGCCCTAGCTCCCCATTGTACAGTCTGGTCATGCTATGTGTCTTCATGGTGCAGTATGTGTGTTCTGTAACAAATGCTGTCACCTGCAGGAGGAAGAGTGATTGAGTCCAGATACCTGCAATATGAAAAGAAGACTAAGAAGGTAATGGAGTCCTCTACTTCTGGAGCCACTGTGAGTTGATGGGAATGGAGGGCACATGGCATTCACAGCCAGATCCTGGGGGACACCTCTTGGCTTGGGCACAGTCCACGTCTCTGGCAATAGTGGTATCAGTATTAGTCTCTGTATTATGGGCCCATGCCTCCTTCTCTGCCCCTTTTGCTTTTGGGCCCTCTATTCTGTCAAGTCTGTCCTCCAGCACTATTCCCTCCATAACCCAGGTGGCTCCTGAGTGACAGGCACTGACAGCAGGCCTTTGGTGAGGGTCACAGGCATAACTGACATGGGAGATTTTGCCATCCCACCCAGAATGGTATGAAATGTCCAACTTTGGTGGCATTCACTTCTGGAACTTGCTGTGTGATATTTTCAGCGGTCAATAAGCAAGGCTAGCAGGTCTTCCTGACACCCCACAAATGTCCCATGAACCCCAAATGCTGCAGTCAGGTCAGGGAGTGCCCTGGAGAGTTCAGTCAGCTGCAGGTTCATCACTTTGCTGACACATCATCCCTGGAGCTCAGGCACTCAGGTTCCTGGTTGTCTGGTAAGGTCAGGCCACACTGCTGAGCACAGGCAAGGTCATTACCAGCTCCTAATCTTGGTTTATGATAATGAGAACATTACGTTCACCTCTGCCTGGCCTGTGTCCTGGGAAGAGTGGCAAGGATCCCCAGGGTCCTAGGGCTGTGACTAGAAGTCTGCCTTGAGGGAAGGGATTCTCAAGTCACCCCCAGGTAGCGTCCCCAAGCTACTCAGCCCTGCTTCCATTCCCCTGTTGCTGTTGCTGCCTTGAAGGCTTGGCCACAGCGCCCCCATGTGTCTACACAAGCATTTTGGTTCTGGTACCCCAGCAAGTGGCCCCTGAATTTGGCTGGAGTCTTGAGTGTCTGTTGTCATATTAATGGTAGCTTGCTGCTTTCTCCTGAGGCTGAATGGATCCCAGAAAGCCTGGTCCAGGGAGGAGTCCTGTCACAGGTTGAGGATTCTTGGAGTGTCTCATAGCATGTGCTAGCATGTATTGAGTAAAGCCACTTCAAGCTGAGCAGCCCTTTCCCTGAGTGTGGAACAGGTGAGCACCTGGATCTGAAATTCAGTATTCTTGAGTTTCAGATTTCAGGTTTCAGATTAGGGATGCTCAGCCTGTATTGTGTGTCTCCATTCCTCCCAGAAGCTGGCTCACAGGGGACCTGTGTGTTTGACATCACCAAAATGCCACACCATTTCACATTTCTCCAGGCAAAAGTGCTTTGGCTCTTCCTGTGCTTTCAGTTGGCATCTCCAAGTCAATTGATGGTGTGCACTGCTCTTTATTGGCTGCTTGTCCTTTTTCGTTTGTGTGTGTGTGTGTGTGTGTGTGTGTGTGTGTGTGCGCGCGCGCGCGCGTGCGCGCGCTCGCGAGTGTGCAATGCAGGTTGTACAACCATGGATGCCATAGTTAAATATCAGTTGTTTTGCTCTTGTGGCAGGGTCTCGTTGAATTATCTGCTCTCAGGATCCTTTTGAGTTCCTCATCTCTCACCTGGGTTAGAGGTCCCCATGCCATTCCAAGATTTGTTTTTATGTAAGTGCTGGAGATTCAAACTCAGGTCCCTCCTTAAAACATAGCTCTTCTTTGGTTCCCGAAGGCGTTTGTGTGTGGCATGTGAGGATAGCATCTGGCTTCATGCCATTGTCAGTCTGGAATTGTAAGGGTGTGCTTTTGAAATAATGAGATTAATGGTGACTTTTTAAAATTGACTACATTTTTATTCATTAGGGGCAGGGTTTGGGCCAACATGTACATATGGCTGTCAGAAGACAGCTTGTGGGAATTAGTTCTCATCCTCCACCACATGCATCCTGCAGATCAAACTTGGTTTGTCTTGCTTGGTGGCAAGCACCTTTACCCAGTGGCCTAGCTTTTTGTTTTTAGCTCCTAGTGCTGATATTGAATATAAGGCTCACACATGCTAGGCAAGCCTCTCCTGGCCAACCTTCCAAAGAGGGCATCAGATCCCCTGGAGTTACCAAGTGGGTGTGGGATTTGAATCCAGTTTCTCTGTAAGTAGAGCAAGTGTCTTAACCATTGAGCCAACTCTTCAGCTCCTGGTCATACTCAGTCCAGTTATATTCACAATGGATTTTTGTAGTTGGACTGACCCTGAGCCCCACAGCCCTGCTATTGGAATACACCCAGAACAAGGCCTAGGGCTGCTTGAGTGTGCTGCATGGTCACTACTCATGTGTATTCTCTATGCAGATTGGTCTGAGGGATGGGCACAGGCACAACAAGTTTTGGAGCCAAGGCTGCAGCAGGAGTCCCAGTGTGAGCATTCTGGCCAGGGTATACACTAGCCCAGCTGTCAGGCAGGCGAGAAGCAGAGCTTGTTCTCTGTTCTTTACAGCAGGTTTTCTTCATGCCCTTGATGGCCTGGCTGGCAGCACCTATACAGCCTGGGAGTCTGCAGCCTGCTGGCTCTGATGCTGGCCTAGACAGCCAGGGCCATTGTGTGGGGATGCACAGTGACCCGCATACTTGGCAGACTTCTTCACTCTAGTCTGACTATGCTCAGGTGGTTTTCTGCAAGGAGTAGCTTTTACCCTGCTGCCTCCTTATATTCTAGGGAGGGTCCCCCGCCCAGTAGTGAACGAGAAGGGCACAAACCTCAGCACCATCCACAATGTGCTCCTTCTTGCTTTAACTGTGGCAACTGGCAGTCTGGCACCCACTTGATTTTAAATTAATTTTCTTTCTTTTCCATTTGTTTTAAATTTAATTTTACATCCCAGTTCTCCCTCCCACCCCTGGCACCCACTTTTGCTTGTGGTGGTGCTGTCGCTGTTATTAAGCTTTGAAGACTTAAGTAGTGAAGAAATATGGTATCTCCTTAAGTCTGAAATACTGTGTATAGAAAACACCCTGAGAGTGCATAGGGAGCCAGGGGCTGCCCCTTCCCGCCACAGCACCCAGAGGCACAGGCCCATCAAGATGGCGGGATGTCGAAGGTGGTCCAGCAGACATGCGTTAGTTTCCTGTGTCTGATGCATGTGACTGTCTACTGTTTTTAACCACATCTGTTTGCACTGCTTATACAGTTTTAAAACTCCAGCATCTCCCTCTGACCTGTAAGCAGGTGCATCAAAGGGAAGGTAGCCTGACCTCTGACTGTTACCATAACAGGTTTCTGCATCAACTGGAGGGAAGCCACCTGAGGAAAGGAAGGCCAGCGCGTTGTCAAGGAGCAAAGGTGAGGCCCAGCTGGGAGTTGGGGGATGGGACTCTGGGATAAGGAAAGGGGCTGCCAGTGCCCCCCCCCCAGGATAATCAAGACAATCCCTCACAGACATACCCACAGGCCAGCCTGATCCAAGCAGTCCCTCCCTCACTTCCTAGGTGATCCTAGATTGTGCCAATGAAAACCGACCATCCTGGGTCTCTGTCAGAAAGGATGTGGTTCAAGTGTTTATGATGGGGCACAGTATTTGAGGCCACACCCATATGCCCATGGAACTACTTGCAGATCCAGGGTACAGGCTGGGATTGGCTGATGGCTCTGCCGAAATTACAGCCCAACACAGTGTCTGACATCTGAGCACTTGGGAGGTGCAGGCAGGGAGATCAGGAGTTCAAGGTTATCCTTGGCCACATGGGGAGACTGAGGCCAGCCTGGGCTACCTGAGACCCTATCTTTAAAAAAAAAAATTCTCTCTTCATACACAGGGATGAGAGCAGTACATAACCTCAGCTAGGATTTCCTCGTGTGACTGAGTGAGGGCTGTGTTTGAAGCTGGGGCAGTCAGGAGCCAGGATGTGCCTGGGTTTAAACAGGGTGCTTACCTAATAGTGACTCTTACCCGATAGTGGTGTATGCAGACATTTTATTTGGATTTTGGCCTTTGGTGGATGGAGCCACAGCTGCTGGTTGAGTCCTTTGTGCACAGGGTGCCCCTGGCTAACCCAGAGGTCAGCAACATCAAAGTTGATAAACTACTTTTTTATTATTTCATTTGTCACTATTGTTGGTTGTTCTGTCACCTTGGCACTGTGGTGTCCTCTCCTTTCAGCTTCCTTCAAGTTCCAGGGATTGAACCCATCATCAGGCTTGCCAGGCAAGGAAGCACTTTTATGGGCTCAGCCAGCCAGCTAGCCCATCCCGTTCATTTACCCGAGGCTGGCCCAGAAGTTTCCTTGTAGGTGAGGCTAGCCCTGAATTCCTGAGTGCTGGGTTGGGCCTTGAGCACAGGAGCTGTTAACTTCATAGCTCCAGGACTGGTCATGGAAGGACTGCTATCAGCACTCCACCTGACTTTGTAGTTTCTTGACTCTTATCAATCACAGCACTGCTGTAAAAGCACTGAAATAGAGCCCCTCCTGCCTCTCTCACAGCTCACCACTTGGAATAGATTTTTGTTTGTCTCTAGGAATTACAAACTGTGGTTTGGGGGTTACGATCAGCCCAGGCTTGCCCAGTTGGGGAAGGATGTGATCATCTCCAGCACAACAAAGGAGAAACACTAAGACTAATAGCATCCGTGATGCCCTTTAGTCTGTTTCTGTGGCTGTAGCAGAATACCTGTGCCTGGGGAGTTGGTAGGGTTTGTTTGTTTGTTTGTTTGGTTTGTTTGTTTTTAAGACAAGGTCTCACTGTGTGGCCCTGGCTGTCCTGGAACTTGTAGCAATCCACCTGCCTCTGCCTCCTGAGCTGGACAAAAGGTATGTGCCACTAAATTATGATTGGTAGTAATTTGCTCTTCTGAGAAGAAATTTGTTGGGGCTGGAGGGAAGGCTCAGCATATCTTAAGGGCTGGAGAGATGGCTCAGAGGTTAAAAGCATTAGCTGTTCTTTCAGAAGTTCAATTCCCAGCTCCCACATGGTGGCTCACAACCATCTGTAATGAGATTTGGTCCCCTCTTCTGGCCTGCAGAGATGTATTTAATAAATAAATCTTAGAAAAGGGGTAGGGGTTGGTTTTTTGTTTGTTTGTTTGTTTGTTTCTTGGTTTTTTCGAGACGTTTCTCTGTGTAACTTTTGGAGTCTGTCCTGGCACTCACTTTGTAGACCAGGCTGGCCTCGAACTCAAAAAGATCTGCCTGCCTCTGCCTCCCAAGTGCTAGAATTAAAGGTGTATGCCACCGCCTGGCAAAAAAACAAACCTTAAAGAAATAAAAAAGGGCCAGCCTGCTCTTCCAGGACAGCCTCCAAAGCTACAGAGAAACCCTCCTCAAAAAAACAGGAGAAAGAAAGGAAAAGAAAAGAGAAAAGTTTCTCCCTTGGGAGATGGCTCAGCCAGTAAAGGCACTGGCTGCATGCCTGGTGACCTGAGTTCCATCCCTAGGACCAGCAGACACACAACAGTCTCACTTACCACAGTAAATAACTTATTAAAAACAGAAGACAGGGCTGGAGAGATGGCTCAGAGGTTAAAAGAACTGGCTGCTCTTCCAGAGGTCATGAGTTCAATTTCCAGCAACCACATGGTAGCTCACAACCCGTCTTCTGGTGTGTGTATGCATACATGCAGGCAGAACACTATATACATAATAAATAAACCTTTACAAAATAAAAGAAAAACATTTAAAAGTCAAAAAGAAGACATTTAAAGAGACTTGTTGAGCTCACGGTTCTGTAAGTGTGTGGACAGAGACAAGAGGACTAAGGAGCTGCCCCTCACCTTAGCCATGGAGCTCACAGACACAAGAGTCCAGCACCCACATACCCTGTAAGAAACAGTCCTGGGGGCCCCAAGCAGTCTATACCAAGGGTTGCGGGTCCAATGGCACTGACCATAGCATTCTTTGGGCAGAAGACAGCCAAGTGATAGGAATGGGAGACCTGCAGTCCACCATGCTGGAAGGACATGTCACAACTCCACCCAACCTTGACCTTTCAGGCATCAATGGTAAGTGGTTTCTTTTAGCCCCTCCAGGGCTGAGCTTGTAAGGATGGCCCCCAACCTTGGGTAGTCCTGGTGCTGTGAGAGAGAGCAGCCTGTGCCTTTCATGCACCCCAGGCCTGGGATTGTGGGTCCCAGTGTGTTTCCCAATGGGCAGTATGGGTCTGACCCTCCTGCTGAGCAGGGCTTCAGTCATAAGCAGTGTGAGGGCCTGGGTGCTGGGGGGGGGGGTGTGACATCTTCCCCTTGTGACAATCTGAGTCATGAATCAAGAGGCGCCTGTTATCTTCTTGGCCACATAGGGTGGCACATCTGGACTACATTTCCAAAAACCAAGTGAAAGACTCTTTTTAAATAAATGAAATGGTCTATTTTAGACAAAAGCATGTTCAGGAAGCCTCCCCAGCTAGACAGGACAATGTCAAAGGAAGCCCAGTCCGTGTTCTGTACCACTCCTCAGAAAAAAAAAACCCTTCACAAGAAGAGACGGGTAAGCACAGGTAGGGGGCAGTGGGTAGGTCTGACTCCGCAGCTACAGCGCCAGGACTGTGGTGCCCATGGGCCCTTGCTCAGGTCGGTGTGCCCACAGTAAGTGGGGTGCACCCATACAACTCCTGGGGAAAATGAGACGTGGCTCCACCCTCAGTCCTGTGGATGCTATTTCTATTTGAACCTATAAAGTACACAGAGGTTGGGTTCTGCCATCCCCAGAAGAGCCAGGTAATATGGTTTACTGGGAACTGATTAGCTGGCCCTGCAGGATCTCCAGAAGACCATGGACATGATGGAGTCACAGACACTGCTGCTGACCCTGCTGTCTGTGAAGGTGAGCATAGCTGGGCCTCATGAGCACCAGTGTGTCCTCTGCTATCTCCCCACCCCACCTGAGTTGGTCTTGTACCCATAGATGGAAAACAACCTGACTCTGCTGGAGGAGAAGGCTGAGAAGGACTTGGCAGCCATGTGCCGCGAGAAGGAGAAGCTACAGGGGCAGGTGCTAGAGCTGCGGCGCCAGCTGCTGCTCCAGCAGAAACATGAGGAGCTGGCTGCCGCCCTGGATGCCCAGGTGGGTCTGAGTGTGCTCCTGAAGCCAGAGGCACATGAGAGAGAGAGCAAGGGTCAGGGCGTCACCACTTGCATTCTGCCCACTCTGCTGAGGCTCCTGATGTTAGTGTGGACACCTGTCTCTGCCACACAGTGTGCAGAATCCTTGGTGCCTGCCAGCTCTGATGGCAGGAAAATCAGCTGCTGTCGTATCCAGGGCAGGTCCTAGGGGATCCTGTATCCTTGGACCAGCTGCCAAAGCCAGCCTCCAGGCTGGCCCATTGCATCGCACAGATACTCACTCCTCTGTGTGGGTTAGCACAGTGGTCTTACAGTGTCCCCTTCTGCCTGCAGATGGAGCTGCTGGGCCCTTTCCAGGCGGTGGCAGAGCGCTTCAAGGAACAATACAAGACACTGGCCACAGCCCTGGATAACACTAGACATGAGCTGCCTGTGCAGGCCATCCACATGCAGGGAAGCGGGCAGGAGCTCCTAGGTAGGAACAGCCGTGCTGTGTGGCATGCCACAGTAGGAAGGAGCCCCAAGGCTCACATGCACCGTATCCTACCTAGATGTCTCTGCCTTGGGGTGGTGTTGGAGCCATGTCTCCCCGAGTGTGCCTAGGACAGGCAACGGAGTCAGCTGCTGACCTCACAGCTAGAAGGCCCTTGAACCTGCAGCCATCCTCCTACCAAACTGCCCAGCACAGACCTGCGCATGACATGTGCAGGGAACAGACAAGTGGTGCCAGCCTGTGCCTGGGGCACTGTGGCTGTCAGAGCACCATAACTTCACACAGCTGCTGCAGATGCCAGAATCTCAGCTGTTTGGATCTGGAGGCCAGGAAGTGCAGGTCCAGGCCACATCCGGCAGGTGCATCTTGCTTGTCGACTCATAGTGGAAGGACAGAGCAAGAGCAGTAGCTTGCAGCCTGAAGCCTCAGCTCCCTTGGTCCACAGGGAGCCCTCCTGCGCAGCTGTCATGCAAGCACCACCTGTGCACTCTGCCCTTGGTGCCCACACTCAGCAGGGACAAGTGAGATCTGCTGAGGTCCCTCTGCCCCACCCTGAGTATGAGAGATGAGCCAATTCCACAGAGCGGGCACAAAGTCCTGCTAACAGCCTGTGTCTCCACAGATGATCTGCAGCCAGCCCTGAGGACCACCCTGCAGCTCCTGGGCGAGCTTGGCATCTGCTCCCCGGATAGCAGTGTACAGGAGCCGTGCCTGCTGGAGGAGCTCAGGAACTTGACCAAGAAAAAGGACCTGGAGCTCCACAGGTGTGGGGCGGCCCCTCCTCCTCTCTTCATCCCTCTCCCCTTCTCTCCATCCTCCCTTTCTTTTCAGTTGGGATGCGGGGGATAGAACCCCACCCAACTGGTATCTCAGGTGAAGGCTGGTTCTATCTGGGCAGACAGCTTTTGGGGGCTCTACTGTTGAGTGCCTCACAGCTGCCATACTGCCAAAGTGGCCAGGCTGTGCTGCGCTAGTGGCTGTTGAGCTACTGGCCTGCTTCTGATTTCTGAGATATGGGGTGTTGGGTGCGATGGAGCCATAGATTCATGCCATTCCAGAGTCCAAGGAAGTAGGATTGGAGAAGATAGAGACCTGAGAGCACCATGGGAGGGAAAAGCATCCTGTGCTCACCTCATGCCCTCAGCAGCAAAGTACTGGGTCAGCAGAGGACAGAGGGAACCTTTCCTGGGCCAGACAGTTGCCCAACACAAGTTAAACGTCATCCAGCATCCTGCTAAGCAGGATGCTTTGGGGTTTCTTTTTGGTTGGTTGTTCGGTTGTTTTGTTTCAAAACGGTTTCTCTGTGTAGCCCTGGCTGTCCTGGAACTCACTCTGTAGATCAGCCTACCTAGATGTCTCTGCCTTGGGGTGGTGTTGGAGCCATGTCTCCCCGAGTGTGCCTAGGACAGGCAACGGAGTCAGCTGCTGACCTCACAGCTAGAAGGCCCTTGAACCTGCAGCCATCCTCCTACCAAACTGCCCAGCACAGACCTGCGCATGACATGTGCAGGGAACAGACAAGTGGTGCCAGCCTGTGCCTGGGGCACTGTGGCTGTCAGAGCACCATAACTTCACACAGCTGCTGCAGATGCCAGAATCTCAGCTGTTTGGATCTGGAGGCCAGGAAGTGCAGGTCCAGGCCACATCCGGCAGGTGCATCTTGCTTGTCGACTCATAGTGGAAGGACAGAGCAAGAGCAGTAGCTTGCAGCCTGAAGCCTCAGCTCCCTTGGTCCACAGGGAGCCCTCCTGCGCAGCTGTCATGCAAGCACCACCTGTGCACTCTGCCCTTGGTGCCCACACTCAGCAGGGACAAGTGAGATCTGCTGAGGTCCCTCTGCCCCACCCTGAGTATGAGAGATGAGCCAATTCCACAGAGCGGGCACAAAGTCCTGCTAACAGCCTGTGTCTCCACAGATGATCTGCAGCCAGCCCTGAGGACCACCCTGCAGCTCCTGGGCGAGCTTGGCATCTGCTCCCCGGATAGCAGTGTACAGGAGCCGTGCCTGCTGGAGGAGCTCAGGAACTTGACCAAGAAAAAGGACCTGGAGCTCCACAGGTGTGGGGCGGCCCCTCCTCCTCTCTTCATCCCTCTCCCCTTCTCTCCATCCTCCCTTTCTTTTCAGTTGGGATGCGGGGGATAGAACCCCACCCAACTGGTATCTCAGGTGAAGGCTGGTTCTATCTGGGCAGACAGCTTTTGGGGGCTCTACTGTTGAGTGCCTCACAGCTGCCATACTGCCAAAGTGGCCAGGCTGTGCTGCGCTAGTGGCTGTTGAGCTACTGGCCTGCTTCTGATTTCTGAGATATGGGGTGTTGGGTGCGATGGAGCCATAGATTCATGCCATTCCAGAGTCCAAGGAAGTAGGATTGGAGAAGATAGAGACCTGAGAGCACCATGGGAGGGAAAAGCATCCTGTGCTCACCTCATGCCCTCAGCAGCAAAGTACTGGGTCAGCAGAGGACAGAGGGAACCTTTCCTGGGCCAGACAGTTGCCCAACACAAGTTAAACGTCATCCAGCATCCTGCTAAGCAGGATGCTTTGGGGTTTCTTTTTGGTTGGTTGTTCGGTTGTTTTGTTTCAAAACGGTTTCTCTGTGTAGCCCTGGCTGTCCTGGAACTCACTCTGTAGATCAGGCTGGCTCAAACTCAGGGATCCGCCTGCCTCTGCCTTCTGAGTGCTGGGATTAAAGGTGTGTGCCACCACCACCTGGTCAGTATTGGGGTTTCTTGAGGGACATAGTTGTTTTGTGTTTCTCTGAGACAAAGTCTAACTATGGAACCCAGCATGCCATTGAACTTGCAGCAACCCTGCCTCAGCTTGTAGAGTTCTAAAATGGCAGGCATATGCACCACCACACCCCACTCTCACGAGTTGGATTTTTTAAAAAGTATTTATTTGTATGTGTTTGGTCACGTTCATATCAGGGCATGAGTGTGGAGGTCAGAGGACAGCTTTGGGAATCGGTTCTCTCTTTCTATTATGTGGGTCCTAGGAATCAAACTGAGGTTGTCAGGCAGGCTTGGCAGCAAGCACCTTCACCTACTGAGCCATTTTAGCCACCCCAAAAGAATCTTGCTCCATATGCGCTCACAATGCTAAATGAATTTAAGGAAATGCCAAAGGACTTTTCAGGAACTCTGAAGCACACTGCACCCAGGCCTGTCCCACAGGATAGGTCAGCCATCACTCACAGGGAGCCAAGGATGGGCTCATGCTTGTCTCACTCATGCTTGTGACCGCTCTCTGGCCAGCATAGTTTCTCCTGTCAGTATCCTAAGCAGTGCAGATACGCCCAGTACCTACACTTGCCCCATGCCTCTGTCACCTAGGGGCTATTAAAAGTCTGCAGACACCGCCTGGCCTTGTATAAAGGGAACAGAGGGCATGGCCATGTGGTGATGGACTGAGTCTCACATCTGGCCTGGTTCCAAAGGATCTCCTCACATAAAATCTGCCCACTGTGGAGAGTGTGGGGGCATGCCTCTGAGGTCCCAGATAAGCAGGAATTTGAGGTAGGAGGGTGAAGGCATGCACTCAAGGCTGGCATTGTAGTGAGAACCTGTCTGTACAACTCTTGCCTGTTAGGCGTGGGAACACAGACTTGTCAGTCATCTCAGCTACTGGGGGCTAAGGCAGGAGGGTCACCAGTTGAGGGTCAGCCTAGGGAACTTGAGTACTGTCTCAAGAAGTAAAAAGGGAGAGCTAGAAATGGAGGGAACTTGGTGAGAGTTCTCGCTCAGAACGCACAAGGCCCTGGTTCTGTCTCCAGCAACATATGGGCACATATATTTACACACCCACCAAGTTTGCGGCCAATGTAAACATTCTACCCTGCCATACAACCCTTGCTCACTTCCAAAGACACCATTAGGGTCCTGAGATGGCTCAGCAAGCAAAGCCTGATGGCCTGAGTTCAGTCCCCAGGACCTACATGAAGGAGAGACCTGACTCTTGTAAGTTGTCCTTTGACCTCTACAGGTAAGCTATACACAACAAAATAAAGATCTTTTTAAAAGTCTGCTTTTCTAAGGGCTCCATTAGAGCTCTTGGCCATAGACAAAGTTGTCTCTTCTCTTTTCTCTGTCCACAGGATTGTTGACCAGGTGCTAGAACTTTCCTCCCAGGCCAGCAAGGAAGTAGCCTTGATAAACCAGGAAGTCTGGGAAGAGGCCCCAGGCACCCCCTACCTGCAGCCGTGATACTTCAGTCCAGATGTCCTCAGGGACCACTGTCCCCTCTCAGGGCAGGACTAATCACAATGTAGGCCTGACCCTTGAGTGACTCCAGACAGCCTGTCCTGCTGCTTTGTGGATATTTCCCTGCTGCCTTTTCAGCCACTGACATTGCCTCCGTGCCTTGTTCAAAGCCTGAAGGAAGTTCCCGTGATAAAGTTTTCTGAAGTTTTGTGCACTTTCCACTTGGGACATCATTAGCACTTCTGGGTTTTGGTTGTTTTTCTGGTTTGTTGGTTTGTTTGTAACAGGCATCCTGAAACTGAGTGACTGTGATTACTAGGTTCCCAACCTCTGTCCTTCCTGTTTTAAAGCAGCCTTAAATTCTGATTGGCTGAGCATGGTGGCACCTACCTTTAATCCCAACACTTGGGAGGCAAAAGCAGGAGGATCTCTGTGAGTCCAAGGACATCCTAGACTACACAGAATGAATGAATGAGTAAATGATTAAATGCTGATGGATGGATGTTCACGTTCGTCCCTCTGGACTGTCATCCTAGGCTGCCTGGCCACTGGGCCCCAGGGTCCTTCTGTCTCCCCCTCTGAAGTGCTGGGAACGTGAGCACAGACCACCCTGCCAGCTTTTTCACTTAAGTTCTGGCGACTGAGCCCAGATTCTACCCCCTTACACAGTACCATTGTAAACTGAAGTTGACTCTGCCTCAAGATTCCAGAGATTTTAGTCCAAGATAATGGATGGCCCCAACACCTTAACTGTACTAAGACTGAGCATCATGTGGGAGCCAAAAAAAAGAACAGGTGTGGTCCAAGAACAGCCTTTCTAGTATACATGCTGATGGCCCTACTGACTCTTTCTGCTGGGGACCATGTCTTTAATGAGCAAGCTTTGATCAGGACTTTTTTGATTTTTTTTATTTTAATTAGAAAATTATTTTACATGTCAATCCCAGGTCCCTTTCTCTCCCCTTCTCCCCCTTCCCCCCCCCCCCCCCCAACTAACACCCTACCTATCCCATACCTATTCTGCTCCCAGGGGAGGGTGAGACCTTCCATAGGGAGTCTTCAAAGTCTGTCTTATACTTTGGGATAGGGCCTAGGCGAACCCCCTTGTGTCTAGGCTCAGTGAGTATCCCTCCATGTGGGATGGGCTCCCAAAGTCCATTCCTGGCTAGGGATAAGTACTGATCCACTACAAGAGGTCCCATAGATTTCCCAGGTCTCCTCACTGACACCCACTTTCATGGGGTCTGGATCAGTCCCATGCTGGTTTCCCAGCTATCAGTCTGGGGACCAAAAGCTCCCCCTTGTTCAGGTCAGCTGTTTCTTTGGGTTTCACCAGCCTGGTGTGGGCCCCTTTGCTCATCAGTCCTTGTCAGGACTCTTAACGTCCATTAGGGCCTAGAAAGATGGTGAACGTGCCTGCCCCCAAGCCTGCTAACCTTATTTTGATCTTTGGGATACTTGGGAAAGAACCAACTCCAGCAAGTTGACCTCTGACCTCTACACACAATAAATAGAAATTTTTAAAGAAACCAGGCTGGGCCAGTAGTTGTGGCACACATCTTCAATCCTAGTACTCAGGAGGCAGAGGCAGGTGGATTATTGAGTTCCAGGTCAGCCCAGTCTACAGAGTGAGTTTCAGGACAGCCAGGGCTACACAGTAAGACTCTTGTGTGTGGGTTTTTTGATTTGGTTTGTTCCAATACAAGGTTTCTCTGCAGCCCTGGCTGTCCTGGAGCTCATTCTGTAGACCAGGCTGACCTAGAACTCAGAGATCTGCCTTCCAAAGGCTGGGATTAAAGACCTCCACCACCACCACCACCACCCAAGACCCTGTCTTGAAAAGTTCAGGGTCATCCTCAGGTTCCTTGTAAGCTTGAGGCTAGCCTGGGCTATATAAGACTCTGTCTTGAAAAGTTAAAAAATGGTGCAGGCCTTTAATCCCAGGACTTGGGAGGGAGAGGCAGGTGGATCTCTGTGAGTTTGAGGCCAGCCTGGTCTACAGAGCAAGTTCTAGGACAGCCAGGGCTGTTACACAGGGAAACCCTAACTCAAAAAACCAAAAAAGGAAAGTTAAGAGCAGGATAGGCATGTAGCTTGGTTGGTAATGTGCTTGCCTGCCATGCACAGATGCTTGAGTTCCATCCTTAGCTCAAATTGGTTCCCACCAGTCATCCCATCACATGGAGGTGACAGCATCAGCTCTAAGGAGGCTCAGGCTGGAGGATCCTGAGGCCATGGACAGCATAGTGAAACTGTCCCGTGCAGGGACGTGAATGTGGGGAACAAACAGGGTGGGAGTGTTAAGGACTTTGGTGTTCCCCTACATTTTTGACGCAGATGGCTGTGTGTCTTCCTGCTGCAAAGGACTCTGTGGTGCCACTGAGCGTGAAGGCTGCTATAGCCAGGGACCACCAGCCTTCCTCTTTGCAGCCACTGTCCCTGTGACCTTAGGTGTAACAGCCTCCAAACTGTTTCCAAAAAGCAGATGTTTGCTGATTCAGAAAATAAAATGAGTCAGTGGGTCGTGTCTATCAGCTCCCAAGTCTCCTACAGGAGTACTTGCTGGGTTGCTTAGTTTCCACCTATATTATCTTTACAGAGTTACTCTCGGCATTCAAAGTTCAACTGGAAGCCACACCAGTGTGTTCCTGTGACTTGCAGCTCTCTGCGAAGCCCTGCCTTAGGTTGGTGGGACATCTGTGTGTGCGTGTGCAGCTCTGAAGTGTTCCATTCCACAGTGAAGGGCACAGAGGGCACAGGGACACAAACCACAGGCATTGCCATTTTCCACACATGGCAGGAGGATGTGGGCAGTGACTGAACACCCTTGGGATTCCTACACACTGTAAGGTCATCAGGGAAATCCTGAGGACACTGTTGTGCAGGGCTAATAAGCCTGCTTATCAGGTAAAGCTCATTGCCATACCTGATTACCCGAGTTTCATCCCTGGAACCACAGGCACATGGTGGAAGGAGAGAGCTGACTCCTGCAAGTTGTCCTCAGATCTTCACACTTGGGTTCTCTCTCTCTCTCTCTCTCTCTCTCTCTCTCTCTCTCTCTCCACACACACACACTGAATAAACAAATACATAAATGTAAAAAGAGGAAGGGGGGCTGAAGAGATGGCTCAGAGGTTCAGAACACTGTCTGCTCTTCTAGAGGTCCTGAGTTCATTTCCCAGCAACCACATGGTGGCTCACAAACATCTCGTGTGCAGATATACGTGAAAGCAGAATGTTGTATACATAATAAATAAAATCTTAAAAAAAAAAGTGGGGACGTGGCTCAGAGGTAGAGGCTGTGCTTAGAACCCCCTAGTGAGGAGCTGGGGTATGGCTCAGGGAGTAGGCTTGCCTAGCATGTGCACATACAGTCAGTCAGTCACAGTTGATCATGCTGTTCCCACAGGGGAGGTTGCTCCCCTCTAGCCTGGCCTTTTCAGGACTGGCTCAGAGAACTGCAGCAGCTGGCTTATACCACACAGCCACTGCACAGAAAGCAGCTGATGGCAGTTGTTGGGGGCATGTCCTAGAGAGAGCATCCAGACCTAGACAGCATGGGTCAGTTGCTCCACCTGGCACAGTAGGGGCTAGATGTTGTATGCATTCCTGCAAATCTTGTTGAAGGCTGAGACAGGAGGACATTCAAGTCCATCCTGGGCTACAAAGTGAAAAAAAAAAAAAAAAAAAACTGGAGTGATGGCTCCTTGGTTAAGAGGGCTTGCTGCTCTAGTAAAGGACTGGAATTCAGCTCCCAGCACCCACATCAAATGGCAAACAAACATGCACCTGCTTCCAGGGTTCTGCCTGACTGCCCCTGATGATGGACTGTGACCGAAATAAATCCACTTCTCCTTAGGCTTTGCTTCTGGTCACTGTGCTTACCACAGCAATAGTAACTAGACTACGATAGTCCCCAAGATGAGGACGGATGCCCAGCTGCCATAACCAACAGAGATACAAGGGGGCCCTAGAGGTGTGTACCAGGTAAGACCCTCTGACCCTACACAAGGGCTCTTCAGCTGCTGCCAGTAGTCTGGGAGTCTCTAATGTGAATGAAGAGGAAGGCGCTCACGGAATACAGCAGACACCAGTGTGTGTGTGTACGCGTCTGTGTATTCGTCCAGCACTCTGCCCTGGATTACCAACTTCAGGCTCTCTACCTGGTTCCTTACACTCCACCCTATCAGTTGTCACATCTGGCCCCATAAGGCCTGCCCTTCTGTGTCATGAGTGTACAACCCTTTCACCCCAGCTGTGTGCTCAGGGTCCATATGTAGGTAGGTGGCACACAGGTCCTGGTCAGTTTGTAGACCCCATTGTTGCTGTCCAAACTTCCATAACCAAGACACATCCTCCAGAAAAGGTTCTGACTCCAGAAAAGGTTTTCCCTTGAGATCAAAAACCCTGTCAAAGCAGGGAACAGCCAAGGTCCTGAAGACACAGCAGTCAGGACAAGGCAGGGAGAGGCAGAGTGGAAGGGGTATGGAAACAGAAGTCAGGCTGGGCCTGAATGGGACTGGGGTAGTTCAGGCTTCCTGGTGTTGCCCAGTTTGGAGGCAGATCTGTGCCAGTCTCCTTTCCTGCCATCTTCAAGTTTCAGTCTGTGGTAGGGATTCCATGGGCCTAAGAGTTCCTTGAGGCACATATTCAAAACTTCCAAATGTCTGAGCAAGTTCTGACTCTAAACTTCAGGGTGCACTCAACCTAAAGGATTGAAAGTTGCCATGTCCATTTAGTTGTCCTTCCCAGTAACTGTCCCACTTCAAAACAGGGGCCACCAGTCTCCACCTCCACCTCCACCTGCGGTGATGTCCTAGAAGACGCCAGGCTATACCCACAGCTGTTGCAGTGCCCACACTTTGTGTGCCAGTCAGCAGAACTCACTCACAGTATACTCCAACTTAATGCCATGGGCTGGGCCATGTGCTGACCCTCAGAGACCCCACACACTTGAAAAGCCAAGGCTCAAGGCTGCTGCAGCATGGGAAGTTTGTATTCCACACAGGAGGGACCGACCTGCCAGCCAGGTGGAAGTCCTGTGTCTATTGCCTTAGAGGCCACTAGTAAGTACAAGCTGACCCCTAAAGTCACATGTGATCTTCAGCCCTCAGCAAACAACAGAATGGAGGGCTAGTCCCAAGAGAACAAGCCTGTTTGCACACAGGACCCGGCTACCTGTGACTTAGAGGCACAGTGGCTGACACCCTGAAATACCAATGCTCCACCTGCAGCTGACCCCTCGGGTTGGGGGAGGAAAAGACACTAACCTTAGACACAAGGGACTGTCATGCTTGTGCATGCCACAGCAATGTGTGCAGGTCAGAGGACAAGTTGTGGGAATGGGTTCTCTCCAACCATGTGCATCCAGGGAATCAAACCCAGGTTCTCAGGCTTGGCAGCAAGTGCCTTCACTCATTGAGCCATCCTGACAGTCTGTGAGAAGCATTGTTAAGTGCAGGGACACCAAGGGCAGAGCTGAGTGACCAGTGGGTCCAAGAA